CTGGTCCTTGGCTGATCCTTGGTTCCTTCTTGGTTGGTCCTTGGCTGATCCTTGGTTTTTCCTTGGCTTGTCCTTGGTTGTTTCTTGGCTAGTGCTTGGTTCGTCCCCATTTTCCTTGGCTGGTCCATTGCTGGTCCATGGTTGGTCCTTGGCTGTTCCATGGTTGGTCCATGGTTGATCCTTGGTTTATCCTTGGCTGGTCCTTGGTTGGTCATTGGTTGGGGCTTGGCTGGTCAATGGCTGGTCCTTGGCTAATCCATGGCTGGTCCTAGGCATTTTCTTGGTTGGTATTTGGCTAGTCCTTGGTTGGTTCCCACTTTCCTTGGCTGTCCTTGGTTGGTCCTTGGTCGATCTTTGGCTGGTCCCTGGCTGGTTCTTGGTTGATCCTTGGCTGGTCCTTGGTTGGTCCGTAAATGGTGCTTGTCTGGTCCTTGGTTGCTTCTTGGCTAATCCTTGGCTGGTCCATGGTTGGTCCTTGGCTGGTCAATGGCTGGTCCATGGTTGGTCCTTGGCTGGTACATGGCCTGTACTTGGTTGATCCTTGGTTGATCCTTTGATGATCCTGGGCTGGTCTTAAGTTGACCCTTGGCTGCTCCTTGATTGGCCGTTGGTCCCTGTTTGGTCCTTGGTTGGTCTTTGGTTTGTCCCTGGCTCGTCCTTGGCTGGTCCACGGCCGGTCCTGGGCTGGTCCTTGGTTGGTCCTTAGCAAGCACTTGGCTTATCCTTTATTGGTCCTTGGCTGGTCCTAGATTAATCCTTGGTTAGTCCTTGGATGGTCTTTGGCTGTTCCTTGGTTGGTTCTTGGTTGGCCCTTAGCTTGCCCTCGGCTGCTCCTTGATTGGTCCTTGGTTGGTCCTTAGCTTGCCCTCAGCTGCTCCTTGATTGGTCCTTGGCTGGTCCTTGGCCGGTCCTTGGTTGGCCCTTGGCTGGTCCTTTGTTGGTCCCTGGTTGTTTCTTGGATTGTCCATGGCTCGTCCTTGGCTGGTTTTAAGTTGGTCCTTGGCTGGTCTTTGGCCACTCCTTGATTGGTCCTTTGCCGCTCCTTGATTGATGTTTGGTTGGTACTTGGTTGGTCATTGGTTGGTCCATGGTTTGTCCTTGGCTGGTCAATGGCTGGTCCTTGGCTGGTCCTTGGCTGGTTCGTGGTTGGTCCTTGGCGGGTCTTTGGCTGGTCCCCAGTTTCCTTGGCTGGTTCATGGCTGGTCCTTGGCTAGTCCATGGCTGGTCCTAAGCTTTTTCTTGGTTGGTATTTGGCTGGTCCCTGGTTTGTACTTGACTGCTCCTTGGTTGGCTCACTATAAGCATTCTTGGTGTGTGAGCTTTGGAATCAATGAGTCGATGCAATCTGCTGTTTTTCCTTAGATAGAAAACTTTGAATCAATTTGACTGGATGATCTGGTTTGAATTCTCTCTATAAAGTGACCTGAGATGACATGATGTGAATTGAAGCTGTAGAAATAAACTGACATTTAAAAAAAAATTAGAGCTGTTATTATGCTACTTTGATCTTATGTGAATAATGTTTTGTGGGTGCTGTGACCCAGATGACTTAGAAATAGCTCCGTTAATATGGATCTTCTTTTTCCTCCTGCTTTTCACTCCTTTATTCTGGAAGTCAATCAGGCACCTGCTTGCATTGAAGTCCTCCAACATGTCCTTTATCAAACCTACCTGCTGAAGCTGGAATCCCTCCATTCATATCTCCTATTGATTCCCTAATTTTTTAAGATTGGGAAGCTTCCATCCCAGAATCTCTATTAAACTCCATATTTATTTGCTTTGGTTGGAAACTCCTGTTATGTCCAAACGCTTTTACTCTTTGGTTGTCTCTAGCTTTAATGTCTCAGACAGATTATGAGGCTGGCATTTGATCAAAGGATTCAGGTCTAAGGTCAACAAAGGAACCCTATCCTCGCCTTTATCCTCAACCTATTAGTCCCACCCAAGAGCAGAACCTTTCCCCATGGGAACCAGAGCTTGGCCCCCCTCCAGGACCAGTAAGTCTTTCGCTTACCACCAGGTCCCTCACACTCAAATATTACTAACTGCTGGGGCAGGACTGTAGTGTAGCAAATCTTTTAAATTCAGTAAACATGTTGCTTTATTATAGTTTTGCTCCCAACAATTTTCCCTCAGAACCATGTTGTTGGAGTGCCAGTTCTCCACATTCCTCTGTGCTGTCGTTGCTTCTTCAAAAGCAGGATCTAATAATGGAGCATGAAGAAGATGAGAGGATATTTTTAAAAAAAGTCCAAACTTCATTAAACTTCATCCAGGATGAAGGATTTTTCCATATGTCTCAGAGCATTAGGAGGAGCAGCGAATGCCTTCCACATTCTTTGAGAGATCTCTGAGTTTCTGCTGTCATGTCATACATGTGCAGGATGGCTTCTCACAGCGGATTGGGAAAAATAGGGCTGGTATGCACTAAAGGATAACTCCAGCACTTTGAGAAACCATTTTCATTCCTATTTTAATATAAACTAATTAGCCGACACACTACAGTAAAGAATGTGGATTTGTTTGTCTGATTTAAAGACTATTAAAGACAGTTATTGCCATGCTAACTATGCAGGGGAAGTGATAGCCATGCTAACTCTGTAGGGACAGTGCTAGCCATGCTAACTATGTAGGGGCAGTGCTAGCCATGCTAACTATGTAGGGGCAGTGC